GTAAGTAACTTTAGAATTATCTATAAATATGTTATTCGTTCGTATTTATCGTTTGTTGAGTCGCGGACTCTTAATTTGTTGTACTGCACGCGTTCACCGCGTCTCCCGATACCTAGAGGTTATGTCGTAATAGCACATGTGAGTACGGAACGAGCCTTCTAGAACGTATTATCTCGATTGCTGTAATGTTCATTCATCATTTCAACAGTTACACATTCTTTTGTTCGTTTAAAGTCAACGATAAAGAGCATTTGTAACCGGCATTTCGTATGCTCAACAGATTGCAACAGTATCCCATGGTAGAAAACAGAACGGGACCCCAGACGATCGAATTCTTGACGAAACGAATCGTCGCCCTTGGAGCAGTGCAAACCGGACAGTTTTTGGTCGACTGTGAAACATTCGTGTCGGTGCCGCAGCTCGGTGAGTCTTTCTACATTTTCAAATTTAAATTTTCGCCACGTTACGTGAACGGGTGCAGCGTAGTACATATTCTAATATATAGATGGCTATGATTGTATGTATAATCGCGAAAATTGACTGCAATATAAAAATGTTTAATTTTTTATATCATACATAAACAGTATAAGACTGAGTTTTGGACGTCTAACATTTTGTTCGACAGTCCAAGAAAATATTACAGAATTATTTTTAATAGTCACGTTGTGAAAGGATATGGGAATGGAATGAAAACTGCATTGATTGACGATTATATCTGTTTTTTCTCTTTTGGCATTTTATGTAGATGTATAATGGATTTCTATATAAACACGCAAAGTAGTTGGTTCCGCCGAAGGTCATTTAGCGCTCGTATATCCAGTATCGTTCGTTACTTCTAGAGAGGTACAAATGCAGACAGTAACGACTTACGGTTTAAGTACAATACTTATGCGTAGCATAAATACACGGTGCACTCGTTCGACGCGTGCACGTATTCCTTTTTACCAATGCGAAACTGGTAGAACATTTTTTTGTGCCATTCGTATCTTCCCGGTTTTAGGATCGTTCCGTTTGTAGATCCACGTAGGTAGCACGCGATACAATTAAATGAATTGGTAATGGAAGGCTGATAAGCGTAAGCCCCATATCGATCGAAGAACCACGAGTTCTTTTCATAATCGTTCAGTTGTCAGCTACGATTTTCGTGGTAAAGCCAATGCGTTTTTGTTTTCGACATAGATCGGCCCAGCGCGCGAATCTTGACGCGCGCGTTGTTCCTTCTTTTTAATCTGTGGTGGTACAAACGAGCTACGTCTAAGCGTCATTACAAAAATATTAAATCTAGCAAGCGAAGCTAGGCAATGGCCCTTCCAGACTGGGCCGGATATACAATATATTTATATTTATATTTATATATGCATGTATATTTTTATATTACTATACGCATACTCTTAGTATGTAGCTTTTGGAAAATACGTTCTCGCGGAATATTCTCTTCTCTTTTACGTTTATCTACATACAAACGTTCGAACATCCCTTTCGGTGACGACCAGCGCTTCCTTCGAATGTCCTCCTTTTATTGTCGATGACTTGTAAATAGTTCGCGTTTAATTTATTGTCGATAAATAGTATAGAAGACGTAATAATTATGTATAAGTTACACGACAGGCCGTGGCGTTCCCCAAATTCTTTTCCTCTGCCGTTCAATTAAATTTCCCCTTTTCGAATTTCGGCGACTTCGAAACACGAGTATCGCACATTTACAAAGCGCATACATACACACGCACACATGGGGCTACGGAATTTTCCCAAATACGCGTAAATAAATCATTACATTGCACTTTATCCGATACGCACAATTGGATGCATACGAAAATATTTAGAGCTACGAATTACATTCCGCCCCCCTCCCCCCTTATACGTATCCACGGCCTGTATCAAACGACTCACGAATTAATTGCATAGCTACGCGTGCATTAATACGAAATACGAATTCTAATCTGACTTTCGATTCGCTGATTGCTACACCTAAGGATTACGATAATACCTTCAATTCACGAAAGTGCACAGTGCAGATATATTTTTTTTTAATTTACAACTTTACACGTACATTTTACACCGCGTCCCGTAATTATAAATTATAAATGGAACAAATGCTTTAAATTCTTGATTAACAAAGAATATTTAATAAATCTTATATATTTTATTATAATTTCATGAATTATATTTTATTCAAAAAGCAAATGACAAACGCGCCACGTGTGGTTTTTGTAGTAAACTGATCAATATTCGTAGCGCCACCGCCGCCACCGGCTGCAGGTGATTTCATATTACGCGCGTTATTTCCGTTTGACAAGTGTTTGGTGTCGAGTGTCCCGGTGGATCTACGAGTGAAACGACGCTGAAAATATGGGTGTTACGATGTAAGTAACTTTAGAATTAACTATAAATATGTTATTCGTTCGTATTTATCGTTTGTTGAGTCGCGGACTCTTAATTTGTTGTACTGCACGCGTTCACCGCGTCTCCCGATACCTAGAGGTTATGTCGTAATAGCACATGTGAGTACGGAACGAGCCTTCTAGAACGTATTATCTCGATTGCTGTAATGTTCATTCATCATTTCAACAGTTACACATTCTTTTGTTCGTTTAAAGTCAACGATAAAGAGCATTTGTAACCGGCATTTCGTATGCTCAACAGATTGCAACAGTATCCCATGGTAGAAAACAGAACGGGACCCCAGACGATCGAATTCTTGACGAAACGAATCGTCGCCCTTGGAGCAGTGCAAACCGGACAGTTTTTGGTCGACTGTGAAACATTCGTGTCGGTGCCGCAGCTCGGTGAGTCTTTCTACATTTTCAAATTTAAATTTTCGCCACGTTACGTGAACGGGTGCAGCGTAGTACATATTCTAATATATAGATGGCTATGATTGTATGTATAATCGCGAAAATTGACTGCAATATAAAAATGTTTAATTTTTTATATCATACATAAACAGTATAAGACTGAGTTTTGGACGTCTAACATTTTGTTCGACAGTCCAAGAAAATATTACAGAATTATTTTTAATAGTCACGTTGTGAAAGGATATGGGAATGGAATGAAAACTGCATTGATTGACGATTATATCTGTTTTTTCTCTTTTGGCATTTTATGTAGATGTATAATGGATTTCTATATAAACACGCAAAGTAGTTGGTTCCGCCGAAGGTCATTTAGCGCTCGTATATCCAGTATCGTTCGTTACTTCTAGAGAGGTACAAATGCAGACAGTAACGACTTACGGTTTAAGTACAATACTTATGCGTAGCATAAATACACGGTGCACTCGTTCGACGCGTGCACGTATTCCTTTTTACCAATGCGAAACTGGTAGAACATTTTTTTGTGCCATTCGTATCTTCCCGGTTTTAGGATCGTTCCGTTTGTAGATCCACGTAGGTAGCACGCGATACAATTAAATGAATTGGTAATGGAAGGCTGATAAGCGTAAGCCCCATATCGATCGAAGAACCACGAGTTCTTTTCATAATCGTTCAGTTGTCAGCTACGATTTTCGTGGTAAAGCCAATGCGTTTTTGTTTTCGACATAGATCGGCCCAGCGCGCGAATCTTGACGCGCGCGTTGTTCCTTCTTTTTAATCTGTGGTGGTACAAACGAGCTACGTCTAAGCGTCATTACAAAAATATTAAATCTAGCAAGCGAAGCTAGGCAATGGCCCTTCCAGACTGGGCCGGATATACAATATATTTATATTTATATTTATATATGCATGTATATTTTTATATTACTATACGCATACTCTTAGTATGTAGCTTTTGGAAAATACGTTCTCGCGGAATATTCTCTTCTCTTTTACGTTTATCTACATACAAACGTTCGAACATCCCTTTCGGTGACGACCAGCGCTTCCTTCGAATGTCCTCCTTTTATTGTCGATGACTTGTAAATAGTTCGCGTTTAATTTATTGTCGATAAATAGTATAGAAGACGTAATAATTATGTATAAGTTACACGACAGGCCGTGGCGTTCCCCAAATTCTTTTCCTCTGCCGTTCAATTAAATTTCCCCTTTTCGAATTTCGGCGACTTCGAAACACGAGTATCGCACATTTACAAAGCGCATACATACACACGCACACATGGGGCTACGGAATTTTCCCAAATACGCGTAAATAAATCATTACATTGCACTTTATCCGATACGCACAATTGGATGCATACGAAAATATTTAGAGCTACGAATTACATTCCGCCCCCCTCCCCCCTTATACGTATCCACGGCCTGTATCAAACGACTCACGAATTAATTGCATAGCTACGCGTGCATTAATACGAAATACGAATTCTAATCTGACTTTCGATTCGCTGATTGCTACACCTAAGGATTACGATAATACCTTCAATTCACGAAAGTGCACAGTGCAGATATATTTTTTTTTTCTTTTGCTTATTTCTTTTACGGCGTCTCGCTCGCTGTTCGTATTTTATTCTCCTATTAACTAGTCGATAGGGTGGTATTGTAATTAAGAAGTGGGCGTATATCGTCGCTAATCGCATAGTTCTTCCGGAGAATTGTTTCTGCTATCTACGCAGCCCTTCGAGGCGAAACTCTTTAAACGTTTACGTATTATACTTTTCATTCGGCGCGGTACCTAAGGAAATGAAGATAGTCGCTCACGATGGTCGAAGAATCGTACTGTACAATTTCTAATAATTAATTTCTCTGTATAGAACCTCGGAGTATCCTTTCTCTCAATCTTATCCTACGTGCACTCGTTTCACGAGCATTGCACCTGCGCTAACTTAATTATAAATTTTCTTTATTCAATACTGCGTCCAAGCCCTTGAGCATTAGAAGATTCGTTTAGATAGGTGTGAGGCTCGAAGGTGGTTGCTCTTTCGTTCACGTTTTGCGGACGGTGACTCGTTAAACCGTATGAAAATCCTCATTTTTAATAAGAGATATGTTTTGAACCTGTCAGTATTGTCAGTATCTTCGTCTAACGTAAACGTTAGAAATAGTTTCGAAGCGAATAGGAGAGGTGATCACCGTCCACAAAAATTGTTAAGTACGCGATACTATTAGACGCCGAGAGAGTCAGCGATCTTCGTTAGAATGTTGGATATGGCAGGGATATGACTCACGGGTTGTAAACGATTACAGATGTAAGAAATCCTGCCGGTAGACTGCACGGAAAAAAATATTATCGTCTCGACTTATCGTTTCCTTCAATTCAACTTAATTTAAATCGTTTTAAGTTAATTGCACAAAACTTCCTGCCGAGTTTGATATGCCGATTGTTCAACATCCCTGTCGACGGGCGTTTAAATAGAACTCGCTAAATCTATCTTCACGCAAAGATTCGTTACAAAAATATTAATTAATTGATATGAACGCAAATTTTCTTCTTAACGAACGAAGTTATCGTTGTTTATGTACATTAAGCCGCGTAGCCTTTTGTATCAGACCCTCTCATCGCTTAAGGATGTATTGGCTATGTAGTCAATCCCAAAACTATGTACCTTAGAAAAACGCATTTCCTATAATTAAAAATAGTGTACTTTTCTTCTAATTTCGATATTTAATGAGTTACATATGATTATTTGGCATTTTATTCATGTTGACGAAATCCGACCATTCCAGCGTCGAAACGGCGAACTTTTGGAAAAAAATTTTGTTTTTCCTCAATAA